CTGAATCAAAGACTACAGATATTTCTGACTTCCTTACCAGAACAATTAGTCAGGAAACAGAGGAATTAGAATCTACAACACCTGGCTAACTATAAAATGACCTCTCCCTGCCCTCTGCTGTGTATTGATACTCTTCCCACTCCCCAAGTCACTCACACTAACCCTTTTGACTACACTGTGATCCTATGAACCACATTCAACCTAGACTGAATATCCTGCCCAGACCTGACTCCCCTGCCTCCCCTGTTGAACCAACCCAAACCCCTGTCAGTCCTGACCTGAATCCCTAGCACCAACCTGACCTCACTAGCCCTGGATTCTGCTTCCCGCTCACTCACTGTGCCTTACACATTCTGCCACTGTATCTAACCTGCCACCTTACCCATCCTTCCACCATATCAGCTACATCTACACTATCCACCTTGCCACTTGCCACCTTCTCACCTTACCCACCCTCCCTACCTGCCACGCTATCCACTTGCCACTCGATTCCTTTAGCTATTTACCACACTCCCCTAACTCTTTACCCGCCTAACCCTCTTAAATAGACTTAACCATCTATCTAAATGACCAACAATTCTTCAGTGTGTTGTGAATGAATGAACTTGCCAGAATATAATAGTTAGTGTGCTAAGAAGCAGCAATCTTTGCTTTCCCCTTCTGACACAGAAATGAGGTAGGCAGAGGCAGAGTTGAAAAGGTAGATGTGAAAGCAACGAGCAATGGAAATTACTGCTCTTGGAAGATGACACATTTGTGAATTCCAGGAATCTGTCTGCCTTCTTAAACACTTCTTAACTTGTTCTGGTATGCCTTTTTAAACAATTTCTTAACTTCTTATGCCACCTTTGATAATTTGTGCACGTATACACTGAGGTCCTTCTCTTCTTACATCCTCATTAAAGTCCACCAAGTGTACATCCAAATTCCCCAAATGATATAACATTCAGGAATTTGATGCAAGGCAGTGAAGGAATGGTATTACACTTCCAAGTTAGGATAGTGTGTGGTTTGTTGAGGTGTTCTAATACACTTCCCTAGTCCTTCTAGCTGATAGTGATCATGAGTTTGGAAGGAGCCTGGGTGAGTTGGTGCAGTGCAGCTAGTAGATAGTACAGAACGCTGCCTCTCTGTATTGGAGAGTGAACATTGAAACTGTTAGATGGGTGACAATCCAACGGTCCGAATTGTCCTTAATGGTGTTGAGCCAAGTGGAGAGTATTCCAACATTCCTGACTTTGGCCTTGTGGTTACAAGTGGCAGACAGGCTTTGTGAAGTCAAAGCTAAGTTAATTGCTGCAGAAGTCCCAACCTGTTGCAGTCGCAATATTCATATGGCTGATCCAGATCAGTTTCTGGTCAACAGTAATCCTCGGTTTGCTGATAGTGGGGTATTCAGAGGCGGTAATGCCATTGAATATCAAGGGGATGCGGGTGCTTGCTGGATTCTTTCTTAAGAAGACGGTCATGGCTTAGCACTTCTGTGGTGCAAAAGTCACTTGCTATTTTTCAGCCTAAACCTAAATATTGGCCAGGTTTTTAGACTGCTTCAGATTCAGGAGATTCAAGAATGGTACCATGAATTGTACAATCATCAGTGAAAATCTCTGTTTCTGACCTCATGACAGAGGGAAGGCCAATGATGAAGCAACTGAAGATGGTTGAGTCTAGGACACTACCCTGAGGAACTCCTGCAGAAATACCCTAGATTGAAATGATTGAGTCATCATCCTCTGTTTTGACTTCAACCAGTGGGGAATTCCCCCTGATTCCCTTGGACCAAAGTTTTGCCTGGGCTCCTTGTCAGCATATGTGGTCAAATGTTGCATTGATGTCAAGGGCACTTGTTCTCACCTCACTTCTTGAGTTCAGCTCTCTTGTCCATGTTTGGACCAAGGCTCTAATGAGGTCAGGAGCTGATTAAGATTCTGGAAGAAAAACTGAGCCATCAATGAGGAGGTTATTGCTGGGTAATTGCAGCTTGACAGCTCTGTCAACAATCTCTTCCATAACTTAGCTGTTAAACAAGTGTCGAATGTTGGGATAGCAATTATCTGGGCTGGATTTGTCCTGCTATCTGTGAATAGAATGTATCTGAACAATCTTCCACACAATTAGGCAGATGCCAGTGTTGTAACTGTACTGGAACACCTGGGCAAGGGGCACAGCTTTCCTGGAGCATACGTTTGCGGTACTTTTGCAGAATGTTGTCAGGCCCACAGCCTTTGCAAAATCCAGTGCCTTCAGCCATCTCTTAATATTATGTGCAGTGAATCAAATTGGCTGAAGATTGCCAACTGTGATGCTGGGGACCTTGGGAGGAAGCTGAGATAGATCATCCACTCAACACTTCTAGCTGAAAATAGTTACAAATATTTCTATCTTGTTTTTTGCACTGATGTGCTGGGCTCCTCTGTTATTGAGAACATAGATATCAGTGGAGCCCATTCCCCCAGTTAATTGTTTCTTTGTCCAGTGCCATTCATAACTAGATCTGGCAGGACTCCAGAGAATAGTTCTGCTCCACTGGTTTTCGGATCTCTTTGATTATTTTTGCTTGTGTCTTCTGCTGTTGGCTTAAAAGTAGTCCAGTTTTGTAGCTTCATCAGGTAAATGTGTCATTTTCACATATGCTTGGTACTGCTCCTGGCATGCCCTCCTGCACTCTTCATTGAACTAAAATTGATCTCTCAGCTGGATGATAGTGGTAGAGTCGAAGATGTGCCAGACCTTGGGGTTAAATTGTGTTGAATACAATTCTACTCCTAATGATAAGTCATAGTACCTCATGCCAGAATTCTTTGATATCTATCCCATTTAGCATGACGGTAGTGCCACACAACTTTCAAAATAATACAATAATTGTCCTGCCAATGAAAGGATATCATGAGACAATAAATTAGGGCATAACTTAAAAGGCAAATAAATATTCCACTTGCTGAATGGACGGAGTTTGATGTGGCTTTAATTCTTTCTTGGGATGTGAACATTACTGTGGAGGCCAGCATTTGTTTTCTGTCCCTAATTGCCATTGAGAAAACAAAGATTTGTGCCCACCTTCTTGAACTGTTGGTGATTATTAAAACTTATGAGGTATTGATCTATACCAGATCTATTAAACAAATGTGTCTATCATTTATTGCAAATGTGAACTCTTCACTATACAAACATCATGTCTACAATACATTTTTAAATTATGCAAGAAAGGAAGAACTTTTCTTTTGAGTGAAGTGTTGTCATTGTTACAAAAGCAAATTTGGCACCCAATTTGTATGTAGCAACTGCCCACAAGCAGCCATGGGATAAATGATAGTTAATTTCTTCTGCTGATGTTGTTTGAAGGCTAAATGTAAACCAAGACATCAGGGAATATTTTGAGAATATTTCATGTAAGCTTTTCATCTTGCACTTGACAGGATCATTGGCCAAAAAAAGGAAAACAGCATTTATATAATATGTGAAGAACATGCTGTGTGGTTAGCTGTGATTGGTAGAGGTGCTGCAATGAAGAATGCTTCAATTAATGTTGATTGGCAGCAAGACATTGCCCTGAGAAATGAATTAGAAAATGGCTTTCACATATTTTGTTGTATTGAAACAGGTGGACTGTGTGTAGATGTTCTTAGGGAGATGTCTGCAACTGGTATTAGGTTCTGATAGGATCTTCTATGAGTCGAGTTCCTGTCACCAACCCCTCTTGTAATACAAGTCTACAAAGGTCATGAATATTAAGTAGTGAAGAATTCACTAGCAATAGGTCTTTGGTAGAAGAGGCATGTACTTGAGGAACAAAAAATAGTTAATTAAATAATAGTAAGACAATGGGTTACATTAACATAATGCGACAACTATATTAACTACATTAACACTTAGTGAGAGACATATTTATCTCCTATGAAATAGTAACTAGGTTTATTCGACATGCCTGTAGACTAAAGAATTGGTTAAAAACAGCTAGCACCACGTTGACTAGATCCTTCCGGTAACACTAATTTGTATAAAAGGTATCAGTGGATATTCTAAATCTTCCAGGTTAACTTTCCCAGACTTGTTTCTGATACAACAATAACAGCCACCAGTTTCAAATCCAATTGCTTGATCCGAATGTAAATATCTTCCTGTATAGAATCCCAAACAAATTGAGGAATAAAACCTGAAAACATGAGAAAATTGTTATGAAATTAAACTGGTAGCGCTGATTAGCTGGCAGTTCAGAGGGGTGGGATTTTTGCCCTTGGTGACCTTAAACTAGGGCCAATTAAATGCCTCATGGATATTAATTACAGCAGACCCTCATCATACAAATTCTGGTTTAATTTTCCCTACCCGACCCTTCCTAAGGTTATTTTCACCATTAAGACTGCAGTACCTTAAACCTTCAATCTGACTTCCTGGAAATAAGGAGTGAGTTCTTGCTTGCTGCCATTTCTTTAGGCAGCAAGCAAGAACCTATTCACAGCCATTAAATTCTGCCCACTGCATGAGGAGCCGAGTGGTCAGAAGAGGTTAAGATGATTTCAGGAAACCTTGTGCCCCAGGTGGCACCAAAGTGCTCCCCTCCCCTTGGCCTCATAAGGGTCTCCTCCGGCTCAATACACTGTTGGCCAATCCTGGTTACCCAGGAAGCCCTCCTTTTATTCACTGCTGGTGTCCCAAATCCCGCGTCTTCAACTGCTGCCTCCTGCCAGCAAATTCTCATTCACACCCATCAGTAGGCAATTAATCTAGTCAGATGTTGAAAACTTTTATTTACATGAGGCCAGGTTGTTAAGATTACCTGGGCCTTCTTGTCTCCGGACTGTCCAGGCGTACTAAACATGTCAGTGTTATGATCATCAATCTCACCCCCTTCTAAAATTGAGCTTTGCTGTTCTGAAAATGGCCTATTGTAGGAATTGCAAACTTGTCTTCTGTTTTATTTTCATGTTTTAAGACTACTTGGTGTTACGGTCAACTGTAGATCTGAAGATAGAGATTAACACTGTGATCTGATCTTCTAGGTCCTACAGTGCAGCGCCAAGTTCAAGTTCAGAATGGGCCACCCCCTGAAGATCAGGAAGCACAGAGAAGGTAAAAGTCATTTTAGATATTTTATGAAATATCATTAATTTGCCTGTTTTGTACTAAAATAACATAAAATAACACAGCAACACTTAAGTAATGTTAAGCCCATTGGAAGTGGGAAATGATGACATTGTGTTAATGTTATTGGACTATAATCGAGACTAAAACCATGGGAAATGTGGTTCAACTGTCACCAATACAGCTGGTGGAATTCAGTTCAATTAATCATTCTGGAATTGAAAACTCCGTGATGTCTATGACAACTATCGTTGACTGTTATCAAAAACTTGCCTGGTTCATTAATGTTCATTAGGGAAAGATATCTTGTGTCCTTTTCTAGTCTAGCCTACATTTGACCAGATCTACAGCCCAAGAAGCCACTCAGTTGTATCAAACCACAAAAGATCAAAGGAAATAGGAACAGAAATAGGCCATTTGACCCCTCTAGCCTGCCTCATCATTAAGTAAGATTAGGGTTAGTCCGCCATTCCTCACATCCACTTTCCTGCATTTTCCCTATAATCCTAAATTCTACTACTGATCAAGAATCTATCTATCTCTCAATATCTCTACAGTAAAGGCCACTCCCCCCATCATAAGGTCAAAGATAATGATGTTTGCTGACGATTGCACAGTGTTCTATCCCAGGTAACTGTTCAGGTGAAGCAGTCCATTGCTTATTTGAAGGAACCAGCATTCATGCCTAGGTTAAGTGGAAGTAACATTTGTGCCACACAAGTGCCAGGCAATGATTCTGACAGTAGAATCATAGGAATTCTACAGCGATTCACTCAGCTACTGTTTACACAAAGCCTGTCTACTTCACTTACTGGGTTAAACATTCACTCCCTCCACCCTTGGTGCACAATGTGCTATGCACAACCAATATATACAACTGCAATAACTCACCAAACCTTTCTTCACAGCATCTTCTAAACCCACAACTTCTGCCATCTGGAAGGACAAGTGCATCTACACCAGGTAGATTGGTGAGGACAAGATGAAATGAGATTTTTTTTCTTCTTGTTGGGTTTTCTCACTATTTGCCACAGGCTCAGTCTAGCAGCTATGTCATTTGGAACTTGGCTAGTCTGGTGTGTCTTGGCGCTGCTGAGCCATTTTTAGTGATTGACGTTGAAGTCCTCACCCAGCTTATGTTCTGTGCCCTTGCCATCCATGGTGGTTCCACCAAATGGTGTTCTTCATAGAGGAATGTATTCAACAGACCCGTGAGTGTAGTAAGAGGTAATCCAGTTTGACCCAATTCCATAACACTTTATCGGGTCTGGAGTCAATTTTGAGGACCACCCAGGGCAACTGAGAGTATATGGGATCATGGGTTACTTGGCAAGTTGGATCCAATATTGGCTGAGTGGTAGGAAACAGAGGATGGTGGTAGAAAGGTGTTTATATGTCCAGAGGCCGGTGTCCAGTGACACACCACAGGGATTTGTGCTGCGTCCCTTATTATTTGTGATTTATTTATAGATCAAAATGAGGGGGTTGATAAGTTTATGGATGGCATAAACTTTGACCAGTGATTGATAATGAGGAAGAAGGTCTTAGGCTACAGGAAGGTTTTGGTCATGTGGACAGATCAGTGGCAGATTGAACTTAACCATGTAAGGTGTGAGGTGGGCACTTTGGAAGAAATAACAAGACAACGGTGTACTCCATGAATGGTAGGACACTAGGAAGCTCGCACGATGAGAAGGATATTGGGGTGGTTGTCCACAGATCCCTGAAGGCAGCAGAACAGGTCGATAGAGTACTTAAAAAGGCAAATGGAACACCTAGCTTTCTCAGTTATGACATAGAATATAAGAGCAGGGAAGTTGTGTTGGAGCTGCACAGAACTTTGGTTGGTCCAAAGCTGGTGTACTGTATGCAGTTCTGAGTGTTTCACTGTAGGAAGGATGTTATTGCCAGGAGGGTGTGCCAGGAGGGGAATCTCCAGAAGGAGATTCGCCACAATGTTGTCTGGGATGGAGCATTTTAACTATAAAGAGAAGCTGGATAGGCTCAGGCTGTTTTCCTTAGAGCAGATAAGTCTGAGGAGGGACCTAACTGAGGTGTATAAGATTATGAGGGGCATGGACCAGCTGGATAGGAAGCACTTCTTCCCTTAGTTGAAGAGTCAATAACAAAGCAACATAATTTTAAGGTGAAGGGCACGAGGTTTAGAGGGCATTTAAGGAAAATGTTTTTCACCCAGGGGATGTTAGGGGTCTGGAATATACTGCTCAGGAGGCTATTTGAGGCAGGAAACCTCACAACCTTTAAAAAGCACTTTGATGGTAGTCCAAATGCTCATCTCATTTAAGGCTATGGGCCAAGTTTTGGGAGGTGGAATTAGTGTAGATAGGTCATTGCAGATTTGATGGGCTGAAGGGTCTGTTATGTACTGTATGAATCTACAACTCTATGACTGTAGCTTCCTCCTGACTATATACTAAAATGCCGCCAGTTGTGGTGATATCCAGTAATGGGCTTGTTAGTGTCTAAGATATCGTCATATTCACAGAATCATAACATACGTACAAGTTGCTTGACTAGCCTAGGGGACTATTCTCCAAATTTTGTTACAAGTCCCCAGATGTTGGTATGTAGAACTTTGTGGGGTCAACAGCAGGGTTTGCTATTGTCATTTCCAATGCCTGGGTCAATGCTGGGTGGCCTGTCTGGTTTCATTCTGTGCTTCACAGTTTATCGTGCTTTAATACAACAGAGTGGCTTCCTAAGCCATTTCAGAGGGCACTGAAGAGTTGATCAAGGTGGGTCTGGAGTTAACAGATCAAGTAAGAAAAGCACGTCTCCTTCCCTAAGGGGCATTAATGGACCAGATGGTTCTTTATGAAAATCAGCAATGGTTACATGGTGGTCATTGGACTAACTTTTCATTCCAGATTTTTATTGAATCCCATCCGCTGTAGTGGGATTTGAATCCATATCACCTAAGCCATCTGTGCATCACTTACATTATGGATTGTGAAATTTAAAATTGCCATATATAGAGTGTTGCCCAACTCAAAATAAAAGATGGAAATGTATAAGAGTAAACATTACAAATATGACATTTTTAAAAATATCTTAAGTGGATGTAGCTGCCACTGTCTTAATATAGTTCTTGCAAAAAAATGCTTCCTAACTTCCCAATGTTGTGTGAATTGTCTCCTCCTTTGTATGTTCTACTTTATTACCTAAAACAGTCATCTCAGATTTTTGTACTTTCACAACAGGATCAGTATCTTCAACAGGAAAAACAACTCCAAATGTGATTTTCAAACTATTTAATTATAAACAAATTTGTATGCATTCATTTCACTGACTAGTTTTAACCCCATATAATGTGAAGTCTGAAATAGAACTGTGGCAATGTTCAGAGATAACAAGGTGTAGAGCTGGATGAACACAGCAGGCCAAGCAGCATCAGAGGAGCAGGAAGGCTGACGTTTCGGGCCAAGACCCTTCTTCAGAAATGGGGGAGGGGAAGGGGGTTCTGAAATAAATACGGAGAGAGGGGGAGGCGGATAGAAGATGGATAGAGGAGAAAATAGGTGGAGAGGAGACAGACAGGTCAAAGAGGCGGGGATGGAGCCAGTAAAGGTGAGTGTAGGTGGGGAGGTGGGAGGAGATAGGGCAGTCCAGGGAGGACGGACAGGTCAAGGGGGCGGGATGAGGTTAGTAGGTAGGAGATGGGGGTGGGGCTTGAGGTGGGAGGAGGGGATATGTGGGAGGAAGGACAGGTTAGGGAGGCAGGGACGAGCTGGGCTGGTTTTGGGATGCGGTAGGGGGAGGGCAGAGTTTGAAGCTTGTGAAGCCCACATTGATACCATTGGGCTGCAGGGTTCCCAAGCGGAATATGAGTTGCTGTTCCTGCAACCTTCGGGTGGCATCGTTGTGGCACTGCAGGAGTCCCAGAATGGACATGTCGTCTGAGGAATGGGAGGGGGAGTTGAAATGGTTCGCGACTGGGAGGTGCAGTTGTTTAGTGCGAACCGAGCATAGGTGCTCTGCAAAGCGGTCCCCAAGCCTCCGCTTGGTTTCCCTGATGTAGAGGAGGCCACAACGGGAACAGCGGATGCAGTATACCACATTAGCAGATGTGCAGGTGAACATCTGCTTGATGTGGAAAGTCTTCTTGGGGCCTGGGATGGGGGTGAGGGGGGACGTGTAGGGGCAGGTGTAGCACTTCCTGCGGTTGCAGGGAAAAGTGCCGGGTGTGGTGGGGCTGGAGGGGAGTGTGGAGCGGACAAGGGAGTCCCGGAGAGAGTGGTCCCTCCGGAAAGCAGATAAGGGTGAGGAGGGAAAAATGTCTTTGGTGGTGGGGTCGGATTGCAGATGGCGGAAGTGTCGGAGGATGATGCGTTGAATCTGGAGGTTGGTGGGGTGGTACGTGAGGACGAGGTGGATTCTGTTTTGGTTGTTATTGCGGGGAGGGGGTGTGAGGGATGAGTTGCAGCCCAATGGTATCAATGTGGGCTTCACAAGCTTCAAAATCTCCCCTCCCCCTACAGCATCCCAAAACCAGCCCAGCTCGTCCCCACCTCCCTAACCTGTCCTTCCTCCCACGTATCCCCTCCTCCCACCTCAAGCCCCATCCCCATCTCCTACCTACTAACCTCATCCCGACCACTTGACCTGTCCGTCCTCCCTGGACTGACCTATCTCCTCCCTACCTCCCCACCTACACTCACCTTTACTGGCTCCATCCCCTCCTCTTTGACCTGTCTGTCTCCTCTCCACCTATCTTCTCCTCTATCCATCTTCTATCCGCCTCCCCCTCTCTCTGTATTTATTTCAGAACCCCCTTCCCCTCCCCCATTTCTGAAGAAGGGTCTTGGCCCGAAACGTCAGCCTTCCTGCTCCTCTGATGCTGCTTGGCCTGCTGTGTTCATCCAGCTCTACACCTTGTTATCTCAGATTCTCCAGCATCTGCAGTTCCTACTATCTCTGTGGCAATGTTCACTTTGCTTCAGTTCCTAGTCCACTGTTGTGCTAATCTTTATTTTCTTTTCTTTTCTTTGACCTATATCCTATCTTAGAAAGCTTCTGAGCATGACTGCATGATTGAGAAGTCAGAAATGGGAGACTGCATGAGGCTGCATTTGTTATCACTGAGGAGTATATGCATATGTTAGTGACTGAGATTTATTTAAAAGTGTCCTTTTGGATGCATCGTTGTTCCCACATGGATACATATGCGCAGTCACCCCAAAGTTCTGTGTCACAAACATTGCCTTTACAAATAGATATTAAACGTTATTCCCAAGCGGGGACGTGGCACGGTAAGAGGTAAGGGGTGGGCAGGTGAGTAATTTGACAGTGCCAACTTTACCGTCAGTTTCCAGCCAAGATCCTGACCTTGAGCTATTTTAGAAAGATTGGAGTAGGTCAAATCATCAGTCTATCAGCAAGCAGAAGTCAGCCAGTTGAGATAAGTTAGAGTTAATGAAGACATCTATTAGTTCCTTTCACTAAATGTAGGCAGCACTGTAGCTTTGTGGGTTAAAGCAGCTGCCTTGTAAACATGAGATTGTGAGTTCAGACCTCAGAGTAGCCTTGAGGCTCACAGGGGCTTTGAATTAGCCTCATGTATGTGCTGTCAGATCTGTTAAGGGTTCTTTTGGCGGGATGGTAGGGTGCCTATCTCTGAGCCAGGTGGTCAGGGTTCAAGTCCCACCTGCTCTAGAGGCATGTAAAAACATTTCTGAACAGATTTATTAAAGAAGAGAAGGACCTCTTCCCTGAACTCACACTGTTCTTCAACTCCTGGAGGTGGTGTCCCATCAGAATCCCCAACAAGATCATGACAAAATAGCTTTTCTTTTATAATAAAATGAACTCGCTTCTACTTGTGGTGGGATTCGAAACTATGTTTCCCAATGACTCCCTCAGTGTCTCCAAGTTCAGAGTGACAACTTCCTCTTCCGGTGGCAGATATTCTCTAGCTGTGAATTGGCTGGAGCTTTGTAAGTTATTGGAGTGCAGGTTTGGGACCTGGAGCTGGCTGTCATGTCTGTTCCCCAAACCCTGATTACAAATCAGCCCGTGGAGTATTCCTATAAATTCTAAATTATTTTCTGAATAATAAACCAATACTACAACATGTCATCAGTTGCTCAGTAGCATAGACAGTGTAGGGCTGTGTTCTTCACTAACCTCTTATAAAAAGGTCTGTGCTTTGCCATTCACTGAAAGATTAGGCCCATAGCGTCAGCATTACTGATGACATCTTCAAAACAGCTGATAGTTTATGTGAGCCAAATGGTGAATTCCAATGATTGCAATGCACGCTGCATTTTTAGTGCAGGCTGGGAGTAATATATCTATTATTAGATCAAATACCAGCCTTAGCTGCCTCATAAAAAATATTTATAGAAGTTTCAGCCCTTATTTTCTTTCACCATCAGGGCAGGAAGAGAGAAACAAGATGGGACCCAAAGTGGCAGAACCAATTTTATAAGTGCAGCCAATGTGCACCATAACATGGTGGACATCCCTCAACTACAAACTGCAGAAGGTGGACCAAATCTTGCACCTACCTTATGCCTAAGTTTTTTTTTGGCGAATTACCTCCTGGTACAGTGATATCCTGCCCTGTTTAAAATTGCCAATCCATCAGAGGCTGGATGTTCACGGTGACCAGCAGCATTGCTTCAGAGGCACAGGAACACCACAATCCAGAAGCAGCAAACAGAAGGGTTACTTTCCCGAGGAATTGTTTGGGTTGGGTTGGTGTCATGAAGAGAGAAGGGTATCAGGAGGTTTGGAGGCAAGTGTGGCCTTCAATGAGTATTCCCTGCTTCCACCTGTGCCCATAGTCACCCATAGAATGGGGCAATCTGGCAGGGAGACTGCTCCATTTTACCAATGGGGAAGGCTTTCACTTTTCTTGCCTGCTCTGAGCAGAGTGGTTTACAGTGGTAGCATGAAGAGGTCGTTAATTGACCACTTAAGAAACTCAATTGGTGGCACTTGATGGGCCTACCCGCTTAGAATCTAACTCCTGTGGTGGCAAAAAATTGAACCAAAGTAGAAATTGCTGGAGAAACTCAGCATGTCTGGCAGCATTTGTGGAGAGAAAACAGAGTTACCGTTTTGAGACCTTTTCACTGGACTTCCAGTGACAGGGTATCGAGACATTAACTCTGTTTTCTCTCCACAAATCCTGCCAGACCTGCTGAGTTTCTTCAGCAGCTTCTGTCTTTGTTTCAGATTTCCTGCGTCCACAGCTCTTTGTTTGATTTTACTGTAGAAATTGAACATTTAAATCAGTTACCCTGAGAGAAAGTTCTACAATAACCCAAATCATAATTTTGCTATTAAAAACTTGATGCATCTGTGCAGGCAGTTTAGATTGATATCTGGAATGAGCATGTTGTCTCATGAGGAGGGTTGGACAGACTGAGCTTGTTTCTGCTGGAATTTAGAAGAATAAGGAGTGACTTGGTTATTTAAGTATATAAAATCCTAAACAGTCTTGACAAGGTGGATATAGAAAGGATGTTCCTCTTGTGAGTAAGTTCAGAATGAGGGGGCACAGTTTTAAACTTAGGTGTCCCCTATTTAGGACAGAGGTACAGAGATTTTTATTTTTTTCTCTGAAGGTCACTCTACTTTGGAATTCTGTTCTTCAAAAGGTAGTGAAGGTGGTGGTTTTGAACATTTTTAAGAAGATGGTAGACAAGTTCTTGTAAGGCAGAAGATTATAGAGGTAATTGGGAATGTGGAATTCACAAAACTGAGATCAGCAATGATCTTATTCAATGGTGCAGGGACTTGAACAAGGTAAATTATCTACTTCTCCTCCTATCTGAATGTTCATATGTTTCTAGAATGTTATTTATGATTAATTTCCTGATTTTCAAGATGTGCAATTTAATATTGGAAATCTGAAAAATTGTCAACTTTCTATACCAGTGTACTATACAATATTGCCAGGTTGTGTGGTGATTAATTGCAAATCAAAGTTCCCTACAATGCTTAAACCAAACACACAAACAAAATCTCTGCCTATAGTAGTTTACAGTTTCCTATTACCTAGCTGTTTACCCTTATATTCTGTAAAGGAGGTCATTTTGTGCTAAATTTTGTCTGTTTTGTGTTGTGGAAATGACTGCAATCTTAAGTAAACATTATTGATCTAATTTCTAATACGAAGTGCAGAGTTTTCAATAAGAGGAGGATCTCATCCTATCAATCAAGACAGAATTAGAATCAAGACTTTAAGACCATAAGACCAAAAGATATAGGAGTCTAATTAGGAATTTGGCCTAACAGTCTACCTCACCATTCAATCATCGCTTATATGTTTCTCAATCCCATTCTTCTGCCTTCTCCCTGTAATCCTTGATCCCGTTATCAATCAAGAACCTAACTATTTCTATCTTAAATACACTCAATGACTTGGCCTGCACTGCCCTCCGCGGCAATGAGTTCCATAGATGCACCACCC